CCCCAAAACCCCAAAACCCCAAAACCCCTTTTGCTGATAATATATTAAATCATTATCGTCATGAACATGTTTATTAGCTCCACAGGTATTTGTGCTGCTCACTCCTAGGCTCATTTGCTTCTTCAGAGATCCCTCAACAGTAAGTTTTACCTCTTTAAAACTTATAGAAAACCTGTGGATCCAAAGAGACAGAAACAATTGTAAGTCATCCAACAGGAATTATGCCTATGGGTTTCACTTCTTTGGGTGAATTTCTTTAGCCAGGCTTGCTAATTGGGCGTTTAGGAGAGCTTATTTATAAAGAAGATAAATAAGAAGTGGAAAGAAGACAAGAAGAAATATAATGTGACTGATAGCCTTGGTAAGTTATTCCAAATTTTTTGAATTTGTGTTACTTATACTCTAATAGCTTCTTCATCTGTGAGGAACAATGACTGCAGAAACAAAGCAGGTCAGATGAATATGTCTAAAAATTCTATGAGTATTCAATCTTTTGAAAGTACGGGCTTTGTAATAAATATTAGACCATGATTCTGAATCAGAGAATGAGACCATCGATCAGACTTTAATCAAGCCCAAAGAATTTGCACTTAGTGATCTTGAACGAGGCTCACAAGACTCTGTTCAAGACCCTTGTCACGACTCTGCTCAAGACCCTTCACTAGAAAATTCAAGTAAATAGAGGATTTAACAGTTCTGATCTGTTCTAAATTCAAATTTTAATTTGGATCCTAACGATGGTTTAGGGATTTTTAGGAGAGCCAATTCTTTCCCTAAAACCTCAAGGAAAGACCTTCCCGGAACCTTGCTCCTAACCTCCATAGCTCCCTTCTCTGACTGAAGCATAGTGGAGAAAGACGATGTTCCTAAAAGTAAGTCTCTGATAAACAAGAGCTATGATTGTCCAAAGGGTGAGAATAGATACCAATATGTTCCATCTAAATCAAAGAAATCGCCCAATAATTTACACAAGTAAGTATCGACCAATTAACTTTGTCATTAATTGGAGTTTAGAAAGCATAGAAAGCAGCCGAAATTGAGTTTTGATGTCACAGAGGCACCTAGAGACAGCCTCTTTCAAGAACACCCCAAGAGCTCATTTAAGAATAGCGATCTTATTAAGGAGAGAAATGCCTCACACACTGCTGGATGCTCAGAAACATGATGTGTCATCTTTTAAGATAAATGTTTTCAATGAAGTCGCATTTACACGGGGTTTTGGGGTTTTGGGGTTTTGGGGTTTTGGGG